GATTTCATTATAGTCACGTGACGGATCTTTGGATCTGGATGGATCTTGGGGATCCTAGGATCCAACCAGATCCATGAGCAAGAAGGTTCTATATAACACTGGCATGTCTGCCATTAGATAGGAGCTTCGTGCTCAACTTAGTTATCAATCTTATCATATTAGTTTGACATCTTTGATACAAGTAACGAGTTCACTTCCAAGTGAACAACCCGATAGTCTTCTTCTTATCATAGCATACCAATCAGCGAACACCCAGCCAAGTTTAGTTAGCCAGTTTGAGTATTCGTTACATCTAGTTAGTTAGTTCGCGTATATTAACTTAGCTAAGTACCTTTATATTAGATATATACTATATTCTTAGATTATAGTTACGTTATATATAACTACTTAAGTAGTTAAACCTACTAGTTAACTTAACTTAATAAAATTATCTAATTATATTTATTTAACTTAACTCGAGTAATATTCAAGTTAAGTTAAATAGTTAAGTAGTTTTATATTAACGCTAATAAGTAGTCCCTATTATCTCCTCGTCGCGTTATATGTACGTTTGGATTTTTAGGTTTAAGGCATCCACTTTTAGTCTTGGTACTTAACAACACAACTTAAGTGGTGCGGAGCAAGTCGGACTAAGCCCCGTAGCGTACCTAGGTATTGTTCCGACCGGTCCGCAAGCTCAACTAGGAAATCCTAAACCTAAAAATCCAAATGTACATATAACGCGACGAGGAGATAGTTAGTTCTAAATACTTAGAAAACTTTAGAATAAGGGGTTATTTACTTAGGGTCTTACAGCGTATTATAAGGTAACTTTTCCTCTAATAAGAATACTTATAAAGCTAAAAGAGAATAAAAAGTCTAGTTTTAGTAATTTAGCGAGAGGCTAGAGTAGTGCGAGCAGAAAGTAACTTTGTTAGTATAATAGTAGCCTTTCTCGTTTATAGAATGAAGTCGCTAGACTTGTTTCCTACTACCATTATCTTCTCCTCCTCCTTCAAAGCGATTTCGCTTCTACTCGGAGGGAAAGGCCGTTAGAATTTTCCCTGGAAAGTTAAATAGTTCGAGTTGGATAGGCGATCCGATTGCCCTAAACAGCTGGCCATATTTTCGCAGTGGCTACAGTATGCAGGACATTACTGGGGCTGTTTAACCGGACTTGGACAAATTATAGAAATTGCTGCAGAACAAGAAGTGGAGTTGATAACTCGTGAACCTCGCCACATTTGGAGAGACATCATAGAATCCAAGATCCAACCACTATTGAGAATTCACAATGCGTCTCATCAACGCGCGTACCTTGGAGCTCAAGGACTTCTTTGAGCCAATCCCAAAATATACTATCCTCTCACACACATGGGGTGACGAAGAAGTCACGTTTCAGGAATTTACCCACGACATCGATAAGCTGAAGGTTGCACAGAAAGAGGGGTTCAAAAAGATTGTGGATTGTTTAAACCAGACCCTACGAGATGGGTACGAGTATTGCTGGGTCGACACATGTTGCATTGATAAGAGTAGCAGCGCTGAGCTCAGCGAGGCAATCAATTCAATGTTCAAATGGTACAAAGACTCGGAACGTTGTTACATACTTCTTTCTGATATTACTGTACCTGTTGGAGGAGCAACAAGGAAACTTCTGGAAAACTCACGGTGGTTTACACGTGGCTGGTAAGTAAAAGAAGCGATGTTATAAAATCAGGAACTAATATCTTGGAAGGACATTACAAGAGCTATTAGCACCCTCCCATCGAATATTCTTTGATAAAGACTGGATTATCATTGGAAAGATGTGTCGTGAAAGTAGTGGCAATTTCCCTTGGAGATATCCTCAAGTACGAGATTCAGAGAGAGAACTCGCAAACAACATTTCGTACATTGCAAATATTCCCACAGAAGCTCTCTATTCGTTGGTGTCAATGGAAGAGTACCACATCTCCATGAAAATGTCTTGGGCTGCTAGAAGAACTACTACCAGAGCTGAAGATATGGCATACTGTTTGCTGGGACTTTTCGACATCAGCATGCCTCTTCTCTACGGAGAAGGAGGCCAAAAGGCATTCATCAGGTTACAAGAGGAGATCCTAAAATAATCTGTCGATCGAACGATCTTTGCCTGGGAAGATAAAACTGGCGCGGAGAACACTTTTCAGGGATTATTGGCCAAATCACCGGCTGCCTTTTTTGGAAAAGGTAGACTCGATTATTTGGAGCACGATGATGATAGGATGGTGTGGAATCATCTTGACATGACTATTGAACGCTACCCCCTCGATGCAGAACACGGAGGTGTAGACCCCCTTTACTTTGGCAAGGTTTCTGAACATGATTCCTCGGTAGGAATAACGAACAGAGGTATATCATTGCAACTCCCTTTGATGAAGGTCAAAGGGTCAAAAATGAGTATCTGGCCTGCCTTGGGTGTGGAAATGGCGAGGCACATTGCTGTGTACTTTTATCATGGCTTGAAGTTGGCAGTCAGTACGCAAGAGTTCGCTCCGATAAGCTTCTCACTATTCCATGCCAGATGAAACATGCTGTCGATGCACTGAGGGAAGTGTTCATTCAACAAAAGCCCATGTTCCCCGAGCATTTTGACAGCCACCGAGTTAGCACTATTGTTTTCCCAGGAACCAATACCCAGACCCTTGAAATTATCTCAAGAACCCCCGGAGTTCGGTGCCACTCTGAAACGCGAACCCTTGAACTCGACATGATTTTGGAGACAGATGCTGAACAAAATCATAAACGAAAGATTCAACTGGCGTTCAAATCGACTCACTATGCCAATCTGCAAATATGGGATGATATGATCCTAACCATAGAGATTTGTGAGGCAGGTTGTAACTTTCAACTAGATTCAGACAATCCGGTAGTTATTGAAAATAATGGAAAGAGGCTCATAAGAGGAGAGAGCAGAGTGGAGATAAGTCCAGAATCAAAGATTTACCAAGGCAAAATCGTAAAGTTGGTAATATTCAGATATTACCGTTATAGGATGGATTAATTTTAGTTTGAGCAGTTTTTCCATTTAATCAGGGGGTTTCACTCATAGAAAAGATACATGATTACCATGATTATTGTGAGTTCTAAATGACAATTCAAGGCATAATATACCTTCTAAACTCTATAAGAACCGTTATAGCATTTTTCTTTTGTCTCAAGTAGTAAGAACATGTTCTTGTTACCCTCTCCTCCAATCTAGAGTGAAAGGTTTTTAATGTTAAGGTTACGTAGTGTTTTATATCACAGGAAATTAGTATTTATCCTAATAAATATAAGATCCAACCACTAATTAGAAACGTAATTTCAATAATCAAGTATTCTAGACGAATTTTACGAGGCTTGTATCGAATTAGAACGAACCATTATAATAGAAGCTAAAAAAGAAAACGTGACCATATAACAGAGAGGTCCTTTCTTAGTTAACATCAAAGAGAATGTATTACTATAACAAATTCCGCCATCGTGTAGAAATCGAGTTCTGTAGCTTTTATACAACATGAAAGACTAGTATATAGTATTAACAAGCCCATTTTCTTACTCTCTCATGTTCGAGATACTATTGTCTAGTAGAAATCGGACATATCAAGTATATACTGTCTGCTTTCTTGCAGATATAGTTTCGGAGGTGACCTCGCGAAAATTAGAAGTATAAATATAGGTGATTAAGGCGCTTTCATTTAGTGAAGTAAAATATTTCCAGATGGGACGAGAGTCTAAATGTAAAGTTACTCGAGAATCTTTCGCAATTTCTGTAGGGCCTCTGAAGAGGCTTCTCTTATATAAAGAGACTTTAGTATCTATGAAATATAGAGGCTTGACGGACAACTAATTAACACTTCTTTTAAAAATAAGCTCTAATTAAGATTATAATAGTACAATAATACCAGATAAAGTCAGGTAAATCTTATCGAACCCTGTAATTATAAATACTTATAAACTTCTACCTAGGTACCTCTATTATTAAAACCGTTCCTTAAATCCCTATCTTCGCTTAACGAAATATTATATAGCCCTCTCCGACCTTGTAAGCTAGGGTATATATCCCGTATATATATCTATAATAATCCATTCTACACATAGCCCCTATATCATTTAATTATCATATCCTATGCCTCAAGCAGGATTCCTTGATCCTTGCTAGTATGAATAAAAGCGAAAATCCTGTGAAACTCTGTCTTCTACGAAGCAAGAGGGTATAGAGAATACCCTGAAGTATATAGCTGAGGCAGAGAGATTCGACATGGCAATAATATCTTAGAGCTCTTTTGGTACCACGTCCCTATGTACTAAAAGGGAGATAAGAGGTCGGAACATGTTATAATACCTCCTATTTTCTATTTAGGTATCTTCCTCTAGTCTAATGTTCACTAGAAGTATAAAACCCAATAAGGCAATATTGACCGTCGTCTTATTCTTGTCAATATCACCCTTTTTATATCCACGTTCGTCCTGCTCAGTGCTCACGGGTGAAGGGGGCACATATATGGGACCAGTACCTGGGGTTTAGAGAGTCCCAGGGTGCCACACGCTCTGTCTATTCCCATTCCTAAAAACAAAAACAAAAAAGGCTGGCTACAAAAGTAGAAGGATATAAATAGTGGTGTAAAAATTAGGGAGAGGTGGGCAAGAAAAAAAGAGCCCTAGGGCTCTAGCGTACACATCCTGCTCCAAGGGCAGGAAATATGAAGTTAACAATGATTCCTACTCCCGCTACTAGCTTCTCGGTCCGTCCTCAAGTGATATAAAAACTTACCATTAATCGCATTAAAAATCAATCAATCAGTGAATATCAACACCCATCAGATATCAGCCAAATAAACATCCCCCCCTAGGATACAATAACCCCTTTCGTTCAAAACATAGCCCAAGACCCACCTAACACACGTTTATAAAATACAATAACCCCCACTCAATCAAATCCACCAATTACACACCTATTGATGGTACCCAGGTAACTGCAATGGCCTAGTGGTTCGAAAAGAAGGTTCCTGTACTAGCCTTGCTAAATCCATAGTACTTATAAGCCAAATAAAATGTAAAACTCAGTAATATATGTCTGGTTTTCGGTCCGCTGCGCTCTTAGATAGAGTTGGACTTTTTTCTTTAACTTTTTTTGGATTTTTGGGGGAATGTTTGAGAGTGTAATGAGCGTTTTTGTGGGTAGGGACGGGCAAAGTGTTGTGGGGGTGTAGATGAGTGAATTTTAACGACGCTTGGTAGTCATATTATCGAGGTTTAGCTTGCTAGCATTATTTTCGTTGTGAAATAGGGTGTCTCTCGAATATCATATCCCCTGGTGAATTATTATCTGACCTACGCTACTATACACGTTCTCTTTCCCTAAACAGCAGTTCCTACAGACTATACATCTCTCAGCTCCCCGTATCACCTCCATACTTTTCGATCTCCCCAATCAATATAACCTACTTCAGTATCATAATATAATAACCAATGCCTCAAAAAAGATCCACCACGTCCTCTATTTAAGAAAGATGTCTCGGGAGAAACCTCCTTTTCTCCATCTACTTACATCCCCACGAGTCGACGCCTCCGAAGTATGATACTAGGTAGCCCTGTAAACTAAGATCTAGCTATTCTGAAGACTAGAAATTGACTGGGCCTTCCTTACCTCCATTCCCAGCACTCGCTCGTCCCAGCAGTGTCTATTCCTTCCCTTTTCTCAGTCAGAAGACGGACAGTAGATCACTATAAAAACACTTCACTTTACTATACCATCAAGCGAACAATTCAACAATTCAAATAGTACCATGAAGAACTCCAAGGCTAACAAGGCTAACTACGGACCAAGAAGTACTTCACAGTACTGTACATGATTGCAATCTACTTGGGGCGGGAACATAAAATAAACCATAACCCAAGTTTAGATTAGATACAAAAGGACACAAATACATTTCACTTGTATAATCTTGCATTTAAATAATATTGTAAAAGGGGTAACGCTACTTTGACTAGATAGCCTTTATCAAAATAAGTTCAACATCAGAATATACATATCCCACTATGAACCAAAAAATCCCTAGCCAACCAATCAACCACCCAGTCCACCATCCATCCCGGATAGCACAAACATAAGACCATAATTCCAACCCAGAGGAACTTGATCTAATACCCAAAATCCACACGCCAAAAAAAACCACCAACCAGAATGCCCTAGAAAAACCAAACAAATGTATCAAACAACATCCCTCCAAACAAAACACCCCACGCCCCTACACCATCACACCATAGCCGTCTTGCCCAATTCCATCTCCCTATCCAAATCTAACTCCACCTCCCCATCCCCCATCTCCTCTGCCGCAAGAATCACACTCTCCCTCCCACTCTGAAACGAAGTGATATTATGTCTCATCCCATTCTTCCCCTCCGAGCCACCACTAACAATACTAATCGGGATGGAGAAATGGTGATCGCCTGTCTCACGGATAGCAGCGGATCTCGTAATGATAGGCTGCGGGAAATCCTTTTCTTCGCCGGGAGAAGGGAGGGGGTTGTGGTGAGGGGGAAGGAGGTAAGAGGTTCGATCGAGACCCAGACCGGTTTGATCTGGTGTAGGAGGGAGTTTGAGTTCTCGGAAGAGAGTGGAGAGTTCTTCGTCTTGGTTGGTTGCGATTTTGGGGCTAGGTGCTTCTACACTCGCTAGAGAGTGGGAGTTGGTTGTTCGTGAGATGTTACTCGTGATGAGGTCTTCTCCCCCTGGTAGGTGGATGCTTTTCGCTTGGAGCGTTTCTTGGATATCACGAATTAGGATGTCCATTGGGCAGATGTAGGCAGCTTTCTTTCGGCTGCTCCAGGCGAGAACGTGACCACAAGCTCGACCTTGCTCGTTGTCTACGACCCAAGCTCCGGAATCACCTGGAACACCGAGTTTGCCTGCGACTTGGTAGCTGCTGGATGGTGTTTGACGTCCATAGATTTTGACAATTACCATTCCTGGTAGAATGCGTCCGGTTTGAAGACCTGATGTTCGTGCCATACAGTGAACCTCCAAGTTACCAAGTTCTCTATTTGCCGCTACTCCGCGTGGATACTCGCCTTCTTTCTGTTGACAGAAACTCTCACCCTTGATCTTGTTTTCTGTTGGACAACGATCGTCTTTGAACTTAAATAAAGCCCAATCAATCTCATGTACAGTTCCCTCTTCATTGCGACGTCTAATACCAGAAGAAGCATAGACCTCTCCAAGCTCGTATGAATCCAAATGATCGGAGTCACGAGTTTCTTCATCGGGGTAGAAGAGTTCATCAACATCGTCGATGGCAGGCTGGGTTATGAAATAGCCTTCCCCACAGTCTTCAGGAATACCTTCTATATCTCCTGGCTCCTCTTCTCCACCACTCTCGTCGCCGTACTCAGATTCGTCGAATTCAGAATCAGAAGCTGTTTCTGAACCGAAATCGGACTCACAGTCGGAAAGCTGATACATGAATTCTTCGTCACCGCTGCTGCAATATTCTGAAGATTCGGAATATGTTAGATCAGGTACGTCGCCGTGCGCGCTGGATCGAAGTATGGGTTCCTGGGGCTCAATCTCTTCTTCCTCTTCTGGGTCATCAAGCATATGATGGACAGTCATTCCGTACGGCTTGTCATCAATCATAATTAAGCCACCAAGAGAGACTGGTGGCAGGTGTCTCGAGTTCACAAATGCACCGATCGATGCACCATTGTTGGGTTGTGGCTGATGGTCAGTGTTGGCCGGCTTGATATCCCCACTGAACTCATTGGCCATTGACCGTCTCGCACCCTTGTTTCTCGATCGAACGACCTTGCCACGGCACACCTTGAGTCCATAAGTCGACTTGTCATACACCAAATGTTTCTTCAATATGCTTCGAATCTTCTGAACGCTTGTACAGATGACAAGTATGGTAGGCTTTGTCGTTGTAGGTGATTCGCCGATGCTTTCGAGACTGATTTCAATGGACTCGGGATATTTCCGATAAAATCCACGAAATACGTGATTGATATGTGGCATGAGCCCCGTATGCCAAAAGTCAAGATGTTCTTGACTAATAGGAATTGCCGGATATGTTCGAAGTTTGGGTTTGGAATTTTCCACCTGTTGGAGTGGCGGTGCTGCCATATGTAAGTGGATTGACTTTATTGTGTTTCTGGGTTGTTTCATACCAGAGATCTTAGCTGCTGTCTTTTCAGGCCAATAAGTCTCAGGAGCGGCGACAATGGGAGCGGCGGTGTAAGATGGCTTTTCAGACCAAGCTGAGCGAGCAGCTGATGTTGGCGAAGCGAAAGCCTGGCTTTTTTGCTCTCTCAATCCTCTCCGAGGTGTTGATGAACGAGAGATTTTTTGCGTAGGCGTGGCATCCTCGGTATCCGTATTTTCCTCTTCTCCACTCTCATCAAGTGCACAACAGGTTTGCAATGCCTTGGAAACTTTCCAAAATGTTTTCTGGTGCATAACATCGGCTCTCGCTTTTTGGGAAAGCTCATCCTCGGGAGCACGCCAGCATGCCTGTACGGCCTTCATATAAAGAGTTCCGCATCTTGTGGCCAACTGCTTGAAGACTGCAACGGGATTTTCTGGAACGGTATCCACCATAGGGAAAACCTCTGATAGCGAGGTCCACAAACCAATTTCCATAAGAAGCATAGCAAGACTGTAAAGGTCAAGTGACTTGCTTTCGGACGTGAGATGGGTATATCGAGTTGTCCTCGGGTCCAAAGGATGTCTGTAAAGTGATTTAACTATGTCACTACTCTCAGGATTGTCTGAAGCATTGTCAGAAAAGAGATCATAAGAAGACAAAAAAGACTGCCGGATATTGATTTGCCCCATATCAACCCGGCTCGTCGCCTGAGCTTGATGCTCGATGAATAAAATGTTAGAGGGGACGAGGCTACCATGAACCACGCCCTTGGAATGCAAATCGAAAACTGCGGTAGCGACATTGTGTGCTAGACGATATTTGATTTCGAGACTCGGCTCATAAGGGCTAAATAGCATATCTGACAAAAATGAAATAGAGGGTATCCTAGGGCTTTCGATATCAATGGGTCCAAAATGTGAAGGAAGTGCGAATAAAAGACAAAATCTGGAGTCCTGTGGTTCTTCGAAATATCCAATAAGGTTCAGAAGGCCAGACAGAGATTTTCCAGCTGATATATAAGATTGAGAAAGAGCAGCAAAGAGTTTTTCGAAACGTGTTAATGAAGGAGTAATCCCAGTTACAGAATATATAGGATTGTAAGGTGCATATTCCAAAAGCACTGGAACTAGAGGAAGCTGTTGTTCATGTTTCCGGGAATCGGAAGGAGAAGTTGGACGGCGCATATACACAATTTGTCTTTGAGACTTAGCTGGCTGTAACATACTGCTCTGTATGCCTTTGAGATTTCTTGGCCAGATGATTGTGTCCGGGTCGATTTGTTGTGGGGTTGACATTCGCGTAGATTCGAATAGTCTTTCTTCCGCAGCGTGTGTTTTGGTCAATGAGGCCGAAGAATCCGATTTCAGCGGCTGACTTCTTCGTGATGATTGCCGGGTCCTTGAAAGATCGTACAGTGTATCGATGGACATGGTCAAATCCCGAACAAGATCTTGGAATCTTGACTTGTCCCAGGTTATCAACGACTGTTTGCGGTCCACCGCCTTCTCTTGAATGGGGTATTTCTCATCTGACGACAACCGCTTCGAAGATTGCCATAATGGTTCCGCCTCAGCCAAGATCTCCTTGATTGTCGACATGACACTTCCCACCAGCTCACTCAATCCGGCCTTGTTGATGGATTCATCGATGTCAGGTGACTGAGAGGGATGATCCGACCATTCCAAGCCCCATGAGACCAGTCTATCCTTTTGAATGCGCAGCTTGCGATGCAATTGCACCAGCTCTGGGTCCTCGGCGGCCTGGACCGGCTCCTTGAGGAAATCATAGGAGCTCTTGGTGTCGGTATACATCTTCGTCAGGCGGCGCTGGAAAGGCAGCGGCATACTGTATAGCGACTCCATGATGTGGGGCCGCAACTGCAATGACGACCAATTTGAAGCACAAGAGAGGGGATCGGAATATATACTTGGTGCGTATTTGAGCGATAAAGGAGCGTTGCCAACACGAAACGAGTCGTCCAAAGCCAATGCCCAGATATAAAGGGAGTTGGTGAGTAGAAGAATGGGTCCATCCGCCTGCAGCTGCCTGCTAATCTTGATGCCTACACTGGTGGTGACAATCCCTCAATAATCGAGTCCCAAAAGTTGCTGCCTTGAGCACGGGGACCAACAAGCGACCCTGGTGTGGGTGAGTGGGTGAGCCACTGCCCACACTCGCCTCTTTCAGTGCACCAGAGTGAGGGCCTCGCGCTCCTGCGCTCCCATACATAGCGGCGGCGTATCCCCCGCGGGCATCCTTGGCGACACACGTGAGTGTAAACACCTCAGCCCATATCCAAAGGGGAAAGAACGACGATTCGGGATTAGGCTTTAGGCTTCTACAAATGTACCCGTCGGGCAAGTACATCCGCCCAAGTGTATATAAATCGGCTCCACCACTAGGTGGATTAAGGGGAAATATCTAACGCAACTCCCGTCAACGGAATATATTTCCTTGTTGCCAAAAGTCAAAAGGGGTTTCAAAGGACACCCAGCAGGCCGGCGGAAACACGGCGGTCAAAATGGTTGTGTACCATACAAACATGGTTATGGCTGATTCTAGGCCAGCACAAGCGGTAAGCACTCGCTACACATCGGTTGGGCTTTCATCACTCTAGAAGTCTTTGGCAGAAGTCATATTATCTCGCGCTGTTGTACATGTCGTGTGGCTCCACCCATCTACTTCCATAATTTTCCGAGACTGACCTCCTTGTCGTCGTGCTTGTTCAGAACCTTGGCCGTAGCCAGATCGAAATCTTCCTGCGTGACATGCACTCTCCGTTCTCTTAAAGCGTACATTCCTGCCTCAGTGCATACACCCTTCAGCTCCGCCCCCGAACATCCATTCATCTTCTCGGCAATCTTTGTCAAGTTGATTCCTCGGGTCAGATTCATGCTTCGGCTGTGGATTCGGAGAATATCTGCTCTAGCCTCGACAGTTGGCGGTGGGAACTCAATTTTTCGATCGATACGTCCAGGCCGTAACAAAGCAGGATCCAGAATATCCAATCGATTCGTCGCCATGATAACTTTGATGTTCTTGGTAGGCTCGAATCCGTCCAGTTGATTGAGCAACTCCAACATGGTTCTCTGGACCTCGGAATCTCCACCGGATGAGCCCTCCACTCGTGACGATCCAATAGAATCGATTTCATCCATAAAGATGATTGATGGAGCATGCTCTCGTGCCATGACGAACAATTCACGAACCATTCTTGAACCCTCACCAATATACTTCTGCACCAACTCCGAACCCGAAACTCGAATAAATTTACAGTCGGTATGATGTGCCACAGCTCGTGCGAGTAAGGTCTTTCCAGTTCCAGGAGGTCCGTAAAGTAGAACACCCTTAGGTTGTGCTATACCGAGCGACTCGAAAAGTTCGGGATGCTTTAGACCAAGCTCAATGACCTCTTTGATCTCCTTGATCTGTTGATCCAACCCTCCAATCATGTCGTATGTGCTGTCGGGAACCTTCTCCACCATCATCAATGATACCAGCGGGTCGACGGATGATGGAAGCATCTTCTCGAGTTTGTAGGAATCGGAGAGGAGAGTAACCCGCTTTCCAACGGTGAGTTTCGTGATGTCGACATTATCTGATATATCCACCACTGCGCAATCGTCAGCTTCGCGTACCAGAAGTGGTTGTAGGATCGTGCATACCGTATTTGCCCTCTGGGTGAACCTTGACCAACACCTTTTTTGTGCCCATTACTTTGACTACTTCCCCAACATATGATCCTGGCTGTTGTAATAACCCGAGTTCTTCTCTTAGGAGTCGCACTGTGTTTTGTTAAACTTGCCCCGTTGTGCGATAACCTATGCGCCTTACCTCTGGAGTTGTAGTCATTCCTCTGAGCTTCCAGTCTTCGGAGAACAGCTTGTCCTTGAATGATTTCGAGCTTCATGCTCTCAATCTTATTATGGAAGAAGCTATCAAGCGCCATCTTGGATGGTTTGCGAACTCGCTGGATGTGGATAATGGCGTGTTGGGAGGTTGAGAGGATGGATGGAGATGTCTTGCTGTTACTTGCGGATTGGGGAGATAGATAGTTGATCCCGCGTTGCCATTGAGCTTCAGGCAAGCATAAACGCGAGGCTCCATAACCTTATCTCTCGCCTCGGTAATAAGGCAGCATTCGGGTGATCGCCGGCTATACTCATGTCACGTGAAAGGATGGAGACATTGAGCCCTGGAGGCGTTTTCTTTCTATGCAAAGTGGCTGAGATTTGGTTGGAGCTATCAACTGAATTTCTATATACTGTATACTACAATACTTTTTTCATAAATTTGGTGTGATGCTTTTGTTTACAACCTCAAAATCAGTTCTGTTGAAATATACACAAGGAAACTCCTTCTCTTGAACTACCTGGAAATAGCAACAACAAGTACAACCAACTCAAACATGACTCAAAGGAACCAAATCAATACATGATGGTTTTCGAATAGCCCTAATCACCCATCCTTTTTACCCGATTATCTATGGGGCATGAGGCCATTCTCTTGCTTTTAACTCTCATATTAGCTTCAATTGGCAAGTCGAGATTGTCTTCAGGTTAGTTGATATCCAGATTTGGATTCTCCGTCATCGCCTCATTTCATGACCAAAAGTCTACCTCCTTAAGGCGCTGTTTAGCTCGGAGCAAAATCGAATAATTATCTAGGGTCTACTATATAAATTAGAGTTTTGTACTCGATACGTGTAATAACTCGTAGTAATTTACTAAGCCTTTTCGCTCGTTCTTAGGATAAATATAAAATACTACTCCGAATATAGAGATCTAGCTTTATTTAGAATATATTATATATAAAAAGTGAATATAGCATGAGACCCATATTTGTATTACTCTATTCGCTTATTTCACCTAACGTAAACACTACTACGTTATCTACCACTTTATATATAAGCACGTACATGTATCTATCATAAAATCCCTTCTATGAAAACATCGCTGTACGCGCGAGAGGAGAGCTGAACCAGTAGTAATTCTAGCTATATCTAGTGCATTCGCCGCGTCTAACTTTAACTACTTGTTGGCTTCGGAGTATATAAGAGTTAAGTGTTTATAGCCAACCCTTCTTGCGGGTGGGTAAAAAAAGTCGAAAATCCTTTTTTAATCCAAAAATGCTAAATTCTCTGATTGGTCGGAAAGTTATTACGTAACCACAAAACAGCATATCACTATAAAGACTTAACTATATATACTCCGAAGCCAACAAGTAATATTTGAGGAACAGCGATCACACATCTAAGTACAAATAGATAATTCAATCCAAACGATATTTGAATAGAATATGACTCCGAGTTATATTCAATAATTATTAAACGTTATTCCGAGTTTTGTGAAAACCAGGGTACGATTCCGGATCAACTTGAACTTTATTATTCCGAGCCAAACAGGCCCTTAGCATTTCCTATGGCAAATTTTGAACTATTTCTCAACTATTCAAGATTTTCTGGTCTAATCATTCTCGCTCTCGGCAAACCCGACCTTGTCAAATAAACGTTGCAACCTAGACGCCGGGATAGCGTTGCCCTGCCGCCTGGAGGACATCGGCCCTATTCAACAATACTGTGTGCAATAATTAGCCACATATATGAGCATATCCATAAGAGGATGCTCAAATATTTTGGGTTCAAACTCCCGCGATGCCGGAGCGGAGAAAAGTAGACAGGAAAGATACATGGGGGTAGGTAAATAATGACTGTTTTATTCTGGGGAATGACTTCCAAATCCATGTACCAAACAATCTAAGCATACCCCGAAAGCTCATCTAAGTGCTAAATAATATAATACTGTGGTATCCCAAGAAATCTTCCTTCCATCCCTTAACGCCGTGCCCTTCACAAGAAACCAGTAATCTTCAAATTTCCCATTTTGATATCCCCAAAACCCCCAAGCTCAAAGGAAAATAATTAAAAGTAACGGAAATGATTTAGAGCCTGGGTCGACATAGCTACCATCTAGGATCGTAGACTTGCTTTTTGATCCAAGCTGTGAGTGCAACATCTCCCCACTCTTCCCACTCCACCCAGGTCTCCTCGGGTAAGGTGCTTACACCATCCCGTCTAGCACACTTCATAACTTCCCGGGCGACAATGACCGAAGCGTCACGTACACGTTGGATTTTGGGGTAGATGAGTCCCATGCAGATTTCCTCTGAGTTGAGGGCCCCAGAAAGGGCAGCGGCTGAGGTGTAGACCATTGCGTCGGTGACACGGGAGCATTTGGCGAGAATGGCGCCGAGACCGAGACCAGGGAAGACGTAGCTGCAAGGAGTTAGTATTTTGGTGTCTTCGGATATGGATCCAGGGAGAACTTACACGTTGTTTCCTTGGTTGGGATAGTAGGTCATGATTCCATCCGAAGTTTTCATGGTGTAAGGAGCAAAAGGACTTCCAGAAGCGAAGATGACAGTCCCCTCAGTCCACTGAACGGCTTGTTCGAAAGTACACTCCGCCTTAGTCAGAGGGTTACTTAGGGGAAACAAAACTGGTCGTCTGCCAATTCCCGATGCATCGACGGATGCCTTGAGAGCACGAACCACTGACTCGGTAAAGACACCAAAAGTGGCGGTCAAACCAATCAATGCAGTTGGCTTGACGTATTCGATGACTTCTTCGAGGGAGCGGAATTGGTGTCCGTTATTGTCTTTTCGGGCAAATATCTTCTTGTGCTCGGCGAGCTTGTCTCCTCGATCGAAGGTGACTAGACCCTTGGTGTCGACAAGGTAGAACTTGTTTCGAGCTTCTTGTTCAGAAAGTCCTCGGCGGGTGTAGTATTCCATAACTTGTTTAGCAACACCTACACCAGCAGATCCGGCACCCATGAAAACTAGTTTTTGGTCTTCCATTGGAACCCCGGAAAGGTTTACGGCACCAATATATCTGATTTTCAAAGTTAGCTTACTTCCAAAAGACAAGCGATGGGTTAACCTACCCAGCCAAAACGACAGCTCCGGTTCCTTGGATATCATCGTTAAAACACTTCTCCATCTTGTATCTCTCCAGATATGAGAAAGCCTTCTCGGTCTCAAAATCTTCGAATTGAACGAGCATGTTTGGGTAAACTTCCTTGACAGCAGCCATGAATTCATCCATAAACTCGAGAGCAACTTGTGGTGTGGGACGCTTTTGTCTTAAACCAAGATAAAGGGGATCACGAAGGTTGGTTTCGTTATCGGTACCACAATCTATAACAATTGGGAGAGTTTGTTCAGGGTGGATACCCGCAGCACCGGTGTAAAGAGCGAGCTTTCCAATCTACGAATAGTGAGAAATTATTGAGGAGATCTATTTGATGGTGATGACTTACAGAAATCCCAACACCGTTCACACCGAGATCACCAAGACCAAGAATTCTTGATCCATCCGTGACAACACAAATAGCTGGATTTTGATATGGCCAATTTCGGAGAATTGTTCGAATTGACTTTCGTTGCTTAATTGAGATATAAAGAGCTTCGGGTCTGGTATAGAGAGTTGAGTATTGAAGACATACATCTCCAATCGTTGGGGTATAAACGAGTGGCATAAGCTGCTCAACATTGTCCATCAAGAGACGGTAGAAGAGATCCATGTTGGCTGCTTTGACTGAGGAGAGGTAGAGATATTTGTCGATATTCGTGGAACGGCTGTTGATCATTCGCATGGCTCGCATAACTTGAGTGTCTAGAGACTCTAGGACATGTGGTATGAGGCCAGTGAGGTTTTGCGAAACTCTATCATCAGGACTGAAAGAAGTACCTGCAAAATTTATTAGCTGGAGGTTCTGTGATAGAAATAAAAAAAAGTTTACCTTTATTCCAGGCTGGTTCCCTAATAACCTGATAACCCCCAGCGTGTGATTTTGGCACATAATCTGTAGCTTTGAATTGTTTTACTGTACCATAATTTTCGCTTGAGTAACCGCGAAGTGTATCGAGAGAAGACATTTTCATGGCAGCTTCAATTGCACTAGTATCAACAGAAGCCATTGGATTGAAACCCGACATCCGTCTTCCAGAGATGGACATACGTTTACTAATGGTAGTAGCTGAGGAACGGCTGGTAGTAGAGGAGGGAGAAGATGATCTAGGAGTAGCCAAACCAGAACTTGTATTGCTATAATTCGAGTAAGAAGCCATTGGTGAAGGGGGAGGGAAGAAGCTCATAAATGGAGAAACGTTCCTTGGGGGATTGCCATACATATAAGAATCGTTGGTGGAAGAAGGGCCGTTTTTGTGGAAACGACTTTCTCAACCAGATAAACACGGAACCTGGCGAGCACTTGTAACGAGGAGCATGTCTCGTTTCGCTGGGGTTTCATGGGCCTCGTGAGATTTGTAGACCCGACAAGCTTTCAAAATGGCTTGGAGTGGTCGTCCGAAGGTTCCCCCATCTGTATCCACAGCCCGTGGCGGGCATGGATTATGTGGATTCTAGTGCAGAGGGAGAGTAAAAGAACCATTGTTACTGGCCGTAAATGGAAGTTATCGGAACATATTGGTAATTAAGGTAGTTCCTAGGGGGCAGAAACTCCGTGGAAGCACGGTGCTGACAGTCTTGATCCTTGGTCAAGGGGTTGATTGTTCTGTCTCAAAGCAGCCTGGGCCTGGAAGGCTGATTAGGAACGCCGTGAGGTGTTGTCATGTTGATGGATGAACTCCCACCTGCACAGATTCAGTCGTCTCAAGCGGACTTCGGACCGTTCATTCGGGAAATGCAGCTTTCTGGAAGCTCTTCCCGGGGACCAGCGAACCACTCGCATGCAGGCTTGAAATGCGTTTCAGCGGGAGACACACTGAGGGTTTATTGGCGTCCCGAACATCGGGTGCCAAATCTAGTTGCCGTACGGAGTACCTCTAACGACGTTGGATAGTTGCGGAGAATGTTTTTGTATCATTGCAATTGGAACAAAGCTTCATCGTACCTGATCAACTGCGTCAAGCATGGCTTTGCGTTCATCTTTACCCCCCACCTAGTCTTGAAGCTCAAACAACAGGCATTATTGAGGAGACTGAAGAGGATCCGATCGTCATTCTCGCCGCACGGCTGGCCTCAGCCCTGTCCCCCTCCCCTTTTTCTACCCGAGCTCACCCGTATTCTCAAAATTTTGAACCAGTAAGAAATCATTTAATAAAGCAAAGATGATATTGAAAGATTTAAGGGATTGGTAATTGAAGAGACATGGACCATATCCAATTCGTGTTGTCTGCTTTCATTCTGGTAATCCAATCTCATTTTTGGTAGAGAACTTTCTGTCAGCCGACACCTCAGCCGATCGGGCTTCGGCAGTCAAAAACTCACAGGGTAAGAGACATTACAAAATAGAAACAAATTCTGCGTTAATTGACGAACTCTAAATCACGCAAATCAAAAAGAAAATACAGAGGCATACCGTGCAGTTTCGGGAGGGGCGTCTAGAATTTTTGCAGAGCTTTGTAAAAGAATTACGGAAGAACCGATCAAGCCCAGTCAGTACATAGAAATTCACGTGGGCGCTACATCCCGGGCCCCTTAGCATTCATTCTGATACGATGTCCGGAAAAGTTCGGAATCCCTTGGTCCCATGAAAAAGCCCCCTTCTTACCCCTTTCTCAATAATACCTCAGAGTCCCGCCTCTTCATCCCATGTTTTGTATTTTGGCATCTTGCGGTCGTTGGTATTTTAGGCCCTCCACGGCTCCCTATCCGAGAGAAGCGAGGAAGTCTTGGTGTTGCTGGGGACAGGCAATCCCTCAACACGGTTGCACGGTGATCCTGAGCTTGATACGGGAAGTGTGTCTTGGAAGTAAACTCAATCTTTAGCTTGATACCTTGGCAACCCCAGCTTCTCAACATCTGGAAACTTTCCTTTCCGGGTTGTTTACTGGTGCACTTTTTCGGGGTTTAAAACTATGCATGGCGGACATCCAGACCTGGCTGACTGGCTGATGACATAAGAACCCCGGAGTTCCTATGAATGCATACCTACATATATTCCCAGGTGAGGTGAGGTGTCTAAATTTGGTGCCAATTGTATAATTTGTATTTTGTTGAGCGAGATTTTCTATTTTTCCCCCTCTATTTCCTGATTGGGTTGGGGCCTTCGCAGGGGTTTTCAAGGGCAGTGAGAGTCATGCTCCTCAGATTTGTAGGTTACTTTTCTGCTCCAATTCAGAACCCGGTTGGATGCCAAAGGCGATACTGTAAGTTAGATGCAAGGCGTGTTGACTACTGTATTTATCTCCAACAAAGTAATGGGTGCATTGCTCTACTTCCTGAACTCCCCCCTTTCTGACCCTTTTCTCAAACTCCTGCCATCACCTTCGATCGATGATTTCTTTCCATAATCCACATCGACAACCGTTCACTGTCCCGGAAGGAGATATCTTTCCCGCTTCACAAAGCCCCTTGTTTTCAAATCCTTCGAGTAAGCCCCTCCGCTTGCCCTAATTGTCCATGCTATTGCGCAGATGAGAAGCAATCCGATAGACAAGTCTTGGAAGAAGGTACTAGCTGCAGGGCTTGCTTGATGGCCGGGTTCTACATCTATGAATTCGCTCGGTGGTGTCCGAATCTTTTTTGTTTGCACGAGAGAAAATCTAAAGACGGCGAAAGGCGCTTACATAGTCGTTTGGCATAGTTGCCTATGCTCCCTCAGGGAGTTTTCACCATTTTTAGACCATTTGTCGAGATTGAAGATTGGAGTCTAGTTAGGTCCTGATGTTAGAGAGTCATACTTTGCAACAGAATTAAACATAAAGGCTTGAATAGACACAGCTGTAACAGTCACGGGTAATAGGTTACGCAATGAAATTTCAAAATTGGATTTTGTCTGTTAAATTTGGATTCTATCCTCAAAACTACTTTAGCAGCACTTCTTCGCAAAATCCCCACATCTGAATGACCTTTGACCTCGAATTGCCATACGAGTCTTAGTTCAATAGTTTTTAATTTTAAGAATCAGCTAATCGAATTCTAATGATTCCCGAACTCTTGCAGGTAATATCATAACATCTTTTTGCTGACGTTTGGAACTAATTGTAAGCCACCAATCAATTTCGTCGTTATAAACTAAACCTGTCAACTTAAGTCTTCCTTCGGCCGCCGTGTTTTCGTGTGAAATTTATGTTGCAGCTTCCCTTAGAAGTGAAAGGATGAATGGCGGTAGACTTCTTGGGGTTACGATTAGTTGAAATATTTTGTGATTCTCTTATTCATTCTAAATCATGGTCGCAGTAGGCACGCAAAGTGATAGTAGGGAGTCTTATTATTGTGTCTCACTGGAATATATGTTGGGTATTGTAAAGCATCTGAAGAATTCAAGTGATCAATCTATTTTTTAAGCCAGTCGAATTCAATAATCCAAGGACCTAGATTATAATTAAGCTAAGCTTGATTCGGATTTGTTAGAGGATTCAAGATCAATATATTGCTAATTTTTCCTTATCAGGGTATTAGGGGACGGTTCGGACGCCTTGAAACATTCAAAGATTAAACTAGTTCATCCTGCCTATTCATTTCTCATTTTTCCATTATTACTACACCTCCAAGTCCCCGTTTACCCCTCGAGCCCAGTCAATACTATTCAGCCAGTTCCACTCACTCGACAAGTCCACTTGCCACGGGTCTTCAAACTGCCAGGAGCCTTGTGGTAATTCATCTTATGTGTCCATTAGCTCAAGTGTAGGCTCAAAACCCCGATCCAAAACTCTACGAATCACTTTGGCCATCCGTTGGCAAAGTTTATAACTTCCCGCATGCGGACGCACCCATTCCAGAAATCCCATCATGAGACTCAGATTCTGAACTACTTCTGACGTGGGAAGTTTCATAGATGGCGGGACTTGAGAGGGATATTGTGTTTGCTTTAGAAGACCAGCGCAAAGGATACCTGTGGACGGCATACCATAGGACATTATCTAGGATTGGTTTAGTGGCGAATCATTTCGATGAGAATGTTGTTGTAGTGCAATCATACCATAAAATCATAATTGTATTGTTTGTCCAGGACGCGATCCCTTTCACGCCAGAAAAATACAATTATCTCTACCAGTTCCCGGGCAATTTCATGTAGCTTTTCCTTGCTTTCATATCCTCGTTCAGTTGAGAGACGTTCTAGATCGAGATGGACACGGAGGTAATCAAGGTGAAGATGTGCTCCAACAAGTACCCTCCACTTTTCGGACGCATTCAAGGATGCTACGAGCCCTTCTTTGTCGAAATTTCTGAAAGATGGCATGCTTTGATAGATCTCAGCCGTCTTTCCCTTCAAAGCTCTGATTTTGTATCAGCTAGTGCCCATATTGCTCTTTCTTAAAATTGGTCAACTATCGTATATGGAAGGACTTACTCGACACGTTCTTTGTGGATAGTCTGCTCCCCATTGTTTGCTACAAAGAGCTCCATGACCTCGTCATGAACAATAGAAACCATCAACAAGTTTCTGATCAATGTTGCACTATGCAACCGACCATCTCTATTCCACCAATTGCCATCCAAGTTATCAATCTCCCGTTGAAGCAGATCTCCGCCAGTTAACAATGCCGCATCGCTGATATCTAAAGGAAGAGGGCAGGTTTGATAATGTCGAGTCAAAGCTGGAGGTCTACCAGTAAATAACGCGATTTCTTTATCGCCTTTAAACAATAAAGCGCTTACCCTCTTGGTCAGTTCAGAGTGGATGGAAAATTCAGGAGTTCCTGGATAGCAATGGAGACCCAGAGCTGTCCCCATGGCCACAAGATCATGATGGAGTCTCCATACTGTTATACCTGGACTGGATATTAGTTTGGCGTTACTCATAAATAGAATCGAGCATATGCTTACTGGCATTCCCATGAATCATTGTTTCTAGATCAAGATTCCTGAGCAGAAGAATACAAGTCAAAACATTCTAAGAGTTGCCACACAACTCTATACACATTTCCACACAAGATTTCATGTCAATAAGAGCTTTCCTCCTCGTCCAATTCGGCTCGCTCGGGTCTGCAAAGAACAAATCATGCTCCTCCAACGTCATAATCCCAGAAGTAAAGGAACAAAACAACAATCCAAGAACTTCCCACCTAAGTTTTACTCCATAAAACGCACGCCTCCACTCTTGGGGACTTTTGTGCACTTCGTGATCTCCCTCCCCATCATTTCAAATTCACCTTGGTTCAGATTCTCCCCATAAGTTTCCCAAAAGGAATCATTTACTTCACACACAACCGCTCTGGGAAAAAGCCCTTCCCCAGAATTCACTCTGTAGTGATTGATGAGTTTCTTGCAGATGACCTTGGGAGGAACCCGTCGAAGTAGTTTGGAAGCTAGGTCGAGGTTCATGGATAAACTTTGAGGGTCATCATCGAATTACCCTGGTGTAAGGGTGCGATAGCGACAAGGTCAACTGTATGCGTAAGAACTAAATTGTCTACAAAGAGTGGAAGTGATCGTAAGATCTGAGGCTATTTACAGTTCCAAGGGCACGGGCCACATCGCTTCCTCCACGTCTGTACCCTCACACCTGGCATCTCGTGCAACCCAAGAGCTGCTTCTCTCAACGTAGCAGCAAAACTCGTGGATCCGAAGAAGCCGGTTGCGTCTCCATCCCTCTCTGTGCCTTTTTCATTGCTTGCTTCGGCATTTTCTTGAGGTGTAGAAAGGTCGGAAACTGGCGTTATTGGGTGTTTGTTCCGTGAAGTACGTGGCTGATGAGGTATAAATTGCGCTGATATTTTGTTTCCAAACTTTGTCATAGGCGCATTGAGAACGATACATTGAGGGAGCACTTGTCTTTTTCTGCATCGGGAACAGGATGTGGTCGCAGGTGAGTAGTCGCATCGGAGTTTGGACTTTCGACAAGGCTCACAAGCAGATTGAAGACCGTTCCTACGCCGAGATAATCCATTCGGGGTGGAGGTCGGGGTCAGTTCCGGGGTTGTCATACCGTTATACAGCTTATGCGATCTTTGACTTATTATAAAACTGGATAAAGCCAATTCGTTTACTGATACATGTTGATTTGAGTTTGATTAAGAGACAAAGATCAAGATATTGGATTTGCTTCTTGAAGTTGGGAATGGGGGGTTCGAAATGTCGGGGTAATATTTTCTCGGCTTCGGGGCTCGCATTTCCTATTACAGAAGCAAGGTAGCAGTCAGCACCAGGGTGTCAGGACCCGTAAGCTACCTTCAAGTTAACAAAGGAAAGGGCACCCAACAATCAATACAACTACTCAGTGTATATGGAACGAATATAGCCCAGATGATTGTTGTTGATTTCATTGAGCCAAAATAGACTATGCCCTTGTGAAAGTGTTAGAGGAAATGGTTGATTTTTGAGGAGGTATTGGTGAGTAGCTCACGAGTTCCTACTCCCCACCATCGATGAAAAGCCTCAGTATTCATGTTTGCAGCATCCTAACATTATTTTAAGATATTGGGGGCAGGAAGAATTACTACAATTTATCTAGAAGGTTGGGTAGTACAATAGAGAGAGTTATCAACCACAGCTTTCTTGGCCATTCTGAGTGTAATGCGATGGATTACCAGAAGTCGGTAACCTTCTAACGTACTATAGACGCAAGAGTAGCCATATTAGCACCTCTTCTTCTCCAAATTCCCCAAGTCAGTTCTTTGTGACAAGTAACTGAGAGCTTTAGGTCAATTACAGTACCTTGACTCTTCAAAGATTTGTCTACTTATTTAATACCATTCTAGAAATCTTTAAGAATAATTAAACTATTCTCTATCATTTCTGCCACAAGGTCGAGAACCTCCAGCATACAGCTTTAACTGCTGTGATTACTGCAAATTCATGCGGGTGATATAACTTCATTAATATTCATGGAATATTCCTGATATGATTCGTCACGATGACTCAAAGAAATTTCTATGCCGACGTTGGGGGGGCAAATGACTCTACATACCAACACGTCACTTACAATCATATGATATATTGTGATTCACGAATTTCTCTTGGCTGGTTTTAACCTTTTACTGTATATTCGTTCATATCAGAGTCATTTTACCGCCGAAATTGACAAGTTATTTAGTGGCTGAGGTTAATTCAAGAGGAGCACAAAAGCCGTGATAGAGAAGTGTAAAGGTAACTTACAAGTATAGAACTCGGAAAGGTTTGTGGGTGCTAGTACTCCAAATTGGCTCCTCTCGCTATTACTTACTCGAAAAACCAAATGAGGTTATTGGATCCCCATCTATCACCCGTAACAGTAAATGTAGTAAGCGTAAACTCAAAAGTAGCCTATACTTCGTATATTAAGACTCAATTGCTTAAAAAATGGGTTGTTTTGGTTTCAGTTTCGATAAGTGACTTCTATAATACAGGGGACATGTTTCAAGAGTCGAAAATAACATCGCCACCGAATAAGAGTCACCCAACCCGACTATAAAATAAGTCACGTTCTAGAAATAGTATAGCAATAGCCTATTGAGCTGGGGCGTCATACCGATATCAAGTGATAGTATAGATAAATGCCGCCCTGTCTATTAATATACAGTACCATCGATATATTGGAAACATACGGAATGTGGACAAATGGATCTTGAACCATGATCGATTACAGAGATTACCGATTTAGACTCTACTTCTCTTGGACATTAGTGTGAAAACAGAGGTCGAGAGGTATTAAGGATGGTCGCATTTTACACGGAGGCTTTTCTCCTACGCCGTGGACATCTGATGTAATTCGTAACATTCCTTGATAAGGCTTGTATCGCTATATTGAAGTTTTATTGAAATTTAAACTGCATACGATATAATTTCCCTAATCGTTTTGGCTGGTGATAATAGCCAGAAGAATTACACTGATAATACTAGAGGTAGGCTAGTAGTAGGTAAAGATCTCCGTGAAGATTAAAGGCTTATACCAGAAGCTTCTATATAAGGCTATTACAGTGTGTAAATCTTTGCGTTTTTCTTCGAGGCACTAAGGATTAAGTATTCTTCTTTATATCCCATGGGGTAAAAGGGAGGACTTGTGTAGAGACTCGCACAAATTAGAAAGATTCCGGATAGAATGGAAAAGAATAATACCATGGAATATACAGTATTTCCATTTTCCGACATAGATCAGGAGTTCTCCAACAAACTTTGTCAACAAACTATAATAGAGGGCCACGTACCTGCCAACTATATGAATTACCTAGTTTTAGAGGCTTAGGCATGCTTAATAATCCATGCAAAAGCTTTGCCATGATGCAGTTCGAGAAGAATGCGAGACGAACCGCGTTTTCGTATAAGAAGTCAAGGGTGCGTAGGGTTGACCGGTCACCGGGGCTCAATGGTAGATTAATGTTTTTGGGTGTTCATGGAGAATGGAGATCACGGAGGATATTTCGTAAATGGCGATCTCGTTTTCGGCTTTTGCTCTACATACGCCATTACGCGGCGGCGTCATCTAAATATATTTTTCTTCTGTGGCGCGAGGTCCATTTTTGGGAAACATGTTTACAGGAAGTATGTATTTATTATAAAGGGACTGCTTTCGAGCCACCATTCCAACCCCCACCACATACACCTTGGACTGTTTTTCGCAGAGTCGGATTTTCAGTTGCGGTTTTATACACGTTTATTACCTTTCACTCGGGCTGTCCTGGCATTTACACACATCATGAAGCCAATATCAATCGTCGCCCCCCTGCTCGTTGCAGCAACAGCAGTTCAAGCGGTTAGAATGGATTTTTATGGCCCGACCAAAAGAGTCAACCCACAATTCGAAGCGTACTTGAAAAAGTAAATCTCTTCCCCTTCCCCTTCCCCCAAACTACCAACTATAACAGCTAATAAATGCAGCTTCTACGAAAACATGGAGAACCCAGATTCTACATCCACTTACACGGATCTTTATGCCAAAGACGGACAGTCGGTTATGGGCTCACCCCCCGAGATAGCCACCGGTGCTATAGACATCCTCCAACAGAAGCAAAAGTTGCTACGCCCGGGGGGTAGCAAATCGTGGTGGTATATCGTCTATGGCGGGTTTGTCGATGAACTTACGGAAGAGGAGACGACAATAGCGGTCTTTATCGTACTTCAAACCACGGATCGTACTAATCCAGCACCGGTCTGCACGGAGACTTATGGTGTGGCGTACTGGACCTTCGAGGCGTTCCCCATAGCAGGTGCATCGGGATTGAAGAAATACAATCTCACTGAAAAGGCGTTTGAGTCGCCGTCAAAGTATCCATGCGGGACCATGTTTCAGGGAACGGCGGGGGGATAGTCTCATAAACACTGAAAGTTATTGTAGTAATCGGAATACAAAATAACATTTTTAAATAGGATAAACGATCATATAAAATAAGGTTCTGATTTTTCAAAGATTTTAATGTCTTATACGTTTTGACTAACTGGAAAGCTTGAAAGTTAACTAACTATCAAAAGGAGTGAGGTAAATCTTTTTATAAGACATTAATGATTTTCTTCAAGACAAGGTTCTTTTTCGTCTCCAGACAAACGTTTTATTTGTAAAATGTTATCTTATAATCTAATTAGTACGGTAGTCGACAAAATTATCACATGAGATACTCTTCATTTAACAATGAGTACAAATAGAGCTACTGCCTTGATAGTTCCTTCGGTGTCCTTGATGAGTTTTGACACAGCCGTTAAGGAATGCCTCCTTTGCGGTTCTGTTGCTTGGAAAGCAGGGTAGCTCTACGAGAGCAATAAGCTCAATCTTCTAATTGCCATTCGTAGCATATGCATTTTCCAGTACAGATAGCAACATACCGATAACTTCGGGATTTGATGCACAAGTGACAATGCAAAGAAATACATTATATGCAAACTCTCATTGGATTTGGTTCTTGAGACACGTTTGCTAAACATTCTTTGCCGTCGTCTTGACTCTTGGAGACGATAGGAGAACCATGATTCAAGCTCGGACTTTGAGCCGTATTGTCTTTCGATGAGATGAGATGAGAAGACCAACAAAGAAGCGGTCGCTACGGGAAAAGATCAAGGGACAGCGTAGAGGAGAGGCATGTATAGTCAATCCAGCAAAGCGCAGATTTCCAACTCATTGCAAAAACATTTCATCATGACGATCCCGACCCGTTGCTGTCGCTGATAGCTGTAATTACTAATTCGGTCCTTGAAAAAAATTGAAGTTATCAAAGTACCAAAATGTTGGGACGAGCGTGAGGGGTTACGGTACAGTACGGTAGCGAGTGCAAGTGGAGTATGCACTGAATCATTGTTGACTGCATATGACCTGTAAAGAGGGGCTCCTCCACTTCCACTTCTCAGCCAAGCCAGCTCCCGCGTCAAAATAGTGAAAGAAGATCGTACAGAACCGCAAACTCATAGAAAAAAAATTGAAAAAAAGTGATGGCGCACTATTAAAAACCCCATGATCCAAATCCCCATATCAAGTTTCATATTTGCAGTTGCAAGTACCGATGCAGCTGCGGTGGTGGACGCTGTTGACTCCAAAGCGCACCTGCAAGCGGAAGCGCTCGTCGCTCTGGGGATGCGATGCGATGTGTTTGGCAACACCGGCAGGGATCAGCCCAAAGCGCAATGCAATAATTCAGGAGAGGGCAGCCACGACCACAACAACCAGAACTCATCGACAACCGCCATCTCGACCGACAACCCCGCCCACGACGACTCTCGCCGACCACTACAGTACGACACCCGCGCCGCGCCCATCACAAATAGAGCTATTGCATGCCATATCCAGGATTAATTACGATATCACTGACTGAATGACCCGAGACCGACCGCTCTCACCTCTCGAGCGACACTAACACGAACACACCATCACAGCACAACAACACGCGCGTGGAGCTGGCGGATTGGGAATATTCACACGACGCCAGTAGCACAACTCTTCGGGTCTTGATTAGAGCGGGTGTACGCGATCCGCGAAGAGGGGTCCGATTGATGAGATAGTTCCTTCGCAGGCTGAGCACACTGTGAATGTCCGATTGCGCACAGCGAGGTTCCGGTTGCAAATATGTCGATGGATGAAATCCCCTCCTCTCCTGCGCCCGATCTCTCCTCGCCAGAAGTCGCACTAGCATATTACAAATCTCAGTATGAGCAACTGGAGCATGAGCTCTCCGAATTCCAGGCTTCCAGTCAGGAGCTAGAGTCAGAGCTCGAGAAGGATGTGGAGGCGGCAGAGAAACGGGAGCGCACATTGCAGGAAAAGGTAGAGGCGTTGGGCTTTGAAGTGGATGAGTGGAAGGTAAGAATCTGCGATACTCGTCTTGATCCATCGTGGACTGACGAACCCCGCAGGCCAAGTATAAACAGTCCAAGGCAGAAGCAAATTCGGCGCAGAATACGTTACAGAAGGAGATTACCACATTACGAGATCTGAACCGGACTATGCAACTGCGCCTTCGTGATACCGAGGTAGCTAATGATGACTTTGAACGTCAAGCCCGCAATACTTCCTCCTCTTTGGAGGATCTCGAGTCGAAATACAATGTCGCCATCGAAAGGGCGGTCATGATGGAGGAGGAAATCAAGTTGGGGGAGAAGGAGCGCGAGGATTTGCGAATTGAGACTCAACGACTTCGCGACGAGCGAACGGATATGAAGATCGAGAACGAGATTCTACAGGACAAGTTGAAGAAGCGGCAACTTCCCTCGCTTTCCACCGATATCAACTCGCAATATTTTGACGGCGATCAATCGTTCAACTCGGGTGCATCATCGCCTTTGATTAATACTCCTCCAGACACCAAGTCAGTCTCTACCGTAGATACTGTATCCGAAACACCTACTCCACCATCACCACCAGTCTCAGAAGCTTCTTTGACCGCCAAACCCGCTGTGAAGACTCCTATGACCCAGCCAAAGAGCAAATTAAAATTGCCAACGGCCGATTCGAGTACTACCCCCAAACCTGCTTCCAGAATGGGATCCCAAAGTTTCCGGACCTCGCGAGGACCAGTACCAGCTTCTACACCAACCGCACGAAGAAGGGATGCTACTCCGTCCGTTATTAGAAATACCAGAGCCAAGGCGCCCGCGACACGTAGCATGCCCAGTTCGGCATCTCTTACCCATATTAGGTCTCTTACTGCCCAAATGCAAAGACTGGAACAGCGCGTTCATTCAGCAAGGTCGAAACTTCCAGCACCTATCAATGCGTCTCCTAAAGCCTCGCCTCGAAATAGTTCTGCGCTAGGTCATCATCACATGCCTTCAAGTGTTACAATAAGGAGCAGAAAGCGGACTGGTGGTAGCACAGTTAGCCACGGCTCTGCAGCTGGCCTAGACGATACACCTACAACAACGAAACATGTTAGTAGAGTATCAACATCAGGCATACACAGGCTTTCTTTCGGTCCCCTCCCTAATAGGGAGGGGCGTGATGGCTCGGAGAGCAGGCCGGGCAGTAGAGCCAGCGGGGCAAGTTACGTTCGTCCTGACCGACCTCTGAGTCGTTCAGAGATATCAAGGCCTGGGAGCAGGACTTCTATGGGAGGAACCCGGACACCTCTGGGTCATTACTCTACACAAATTGCTGACCAGCGAAGGCCAAGATCAAGTCTAGGAGGTAGTTATACCTCTTCACATGGACATTCTCAAAGTGTACATTCTCACAGCGTCTCTGGCATCGACTTTGACGAGAGCCGAGAAATGGATTTCTCTGCTTCTACTGGGAGTCGAAGGAGTACCTATAGTAAAGGAGACGAGGCACCTAGCGCGATCCCGACACCTCGAAGGAAAAGCGGCGGCGTAGGTGTAAGGAGGATGAGCAGTGGACCCGATAAGGATACTTCCATGAAACCACCATCACGACAGCGCAAACTCAGTGACCTGGGCGAGACCTACTGATTACACGCCCGCCTTCCGAGTGCAGTGCTGCTCTCCCTGAAATCCCTTGCCTTTTTCTCATCTCTCTCCTCGCATTGGAACAAATACCCCCTGTATAGGAAACGACTGTTATGAAATGGACCTTTTTTCTTTTTCTTTGTCTCAGATTCTATGGGTTTTTTGGGAAATATCAGGTGAAATGGTATGGGAAAGGGCGGTGGTGGATCTTTTTATTTTTTTTTTGCATGCATGCATGGATGGTGCTATTGGTGGCGTTTCTTCCTTTTGTTTTTATTTTGCCCCTCCTTCCCTTGCTTTCTTTTCTTATGTCCTTTTCTCTGTTAATTTGTTGATGGAAGTGATAGGATTACTATTACTTTTGGCTTGAAATACGCTTGATTGCAACCCCTTCCCCCTCGGGAATTTTTTCCATTTGTTTATAGTTTTTTTTATTAGAGGTATGGATGGATGGCCTTGGAGAATTTGGGCTTGTGTGTGGGTGATGGAATGAGATGGGAGGATGTAGAATGAATGAGTGGATGGTGAAGTGTAATGGAGAGGAAAGTAAGGATGTGAGGAGTGAGGAGTGGTTGTTGCTACCGTTCGTGGATAGTGTGTGCAATGATTACTTCCTTTCTTTTACCCCCCTTTTATTTTTTTTGATTCGTATTTTTTGGTGAAGAAATCGCAGATTCGTGATTTTTGTGACTTGAATTGTCATTCTTCTCGTCTTGTCTTGGCCGTGTGATACTGATTTTGACATCTGAGATGTAATGTGATGACTATTGACTACTACCGACTACCAACTACAGTACCTATCTACCTACCTTCATAACAAGGGAGGGAATGAACTCGGGGTCGGGGAGTTGGCGTTGTGTTGTGTTGATTTGGTTTTGGTTTTGGGGCCTAGGGGATGAGGGGGCTTAGGGGGTGAGGTAGTACGATGATGAGATGGGATGTGAGAGGTGCGTGATTGGGCTGGCTCGGGTGGGTAATACGTAGTGTAAGATTATAGTAGGGAGCTTGGTTTTGGGTTGGGGTGGTTTGGGTTGAGTTTAGGATTGGATATGATATGATATGATATGATATGGGATTCAGGATTTAGATAGATGGATAGAATACGCTATAGGGAATTGGTTAGAGGTGAGGTAGTTTATGAGGTGTAGGTACGTTATGATGTGATGCATAACCTATTGTACTGTACGTTGCGTTGTAATGTGTTGTGATGGTGGGGATCATTAATCATTAATCATTGATTACCTATTACAGTACCTGCCTATATCGCAGTACAGTACCTATACTTACATTACATCTCGATAAAACTCGATCATGAGATTATCCATACCTAGGTTTGGAATCCCGATGCAACTATGATTTCGGTAATATATAAAATAGTCGCTACTATAGCGATTGTGCGAAAGAATAGCTGCATCTTGTTTTTGCTTTGATTTTTATCGACTTTGGACTTTGGACTTGAAGATTGTAATTGTACTTGTACTTTGAACGAGAAAAGCACGAAACAATAATGATTGTTTGCCTTTTGAGAAGTACATCTTGTAAAATCTGGAATTATTCAAATCAGTCGTGTATGCGTAGTGATCATACCATGTCGTGTTATGTCGTGTTGTGTTGGTTGTATCTATCATTCTATCATGTCATGTCGTGTTGTATTCGATTCATTTGACTAACAACGGAAAAAAATTATTTTTGTTGCACATCGCAATCCAGAAGTCTAAAAATGTACGAGTCGAGAATCTATTTTTGCCTGTCTGCGTCGCCCTGTTTCTGTGGAAAAGCAAAGCGGTGCGTGGTGTTTATTTTTGGTGGGTGCAGGCGGTGCTTCCTTTCCTTTTTTTGGGGATGACGGGAGGGGGCATTTATTTTTACTTACCATCTGTGCAGTGCAGCGCTGTCTGTGGTGTGTGTCTGTGGGATTCTTTTTTGGTGGGTGGGTGGAGTTGGTTGGTTGGCTGGCTGATGTGGTGGCCAATGCTAAGCTCAAAGACTGGGGTGGGAGGTCTGTGCGCCGTGAGGGGTGAGGATGGGATGAGAGGGGAAGCGAGGGGATAGATGGGATGGGATGAGTTTGGTTCTCGAGGATAGGATAGGATGGCTGAATAATTAGGAGCTCCGTGGGTAAGAGGTTCGTTTGGTATTGAGATGCTGATGTTTTGATTTTGTATTGAGTGGGAGTTGGTTGGTTTGAGAAGAGGTATTGGGGAGTTGTTGTACGTACTTTGTCGGATTTTAGTACGGCTTGGTAGCCTCCACAAGACAGCTCTCATTCAGGTGGAATAGAGATTCCACCTATCCTTGAATGCTGACGATGCTTGGATAGATTCATCATTTCGATATAATCCAGCTTTTGCTGTCATTTGATAAGTAAAAAATCATTGTAAAAAGATACTCGCAAGTATTGTCACCGGAATGAGAGAGCTGTTGGATAGCAATGAGTTGCAATGGGTTGCCATGTGCCCGAGGGAGTTTTTTTTTTGAAGCGAATTCGATGATCTCAACCAACTAGAGTTCGGCAGAAAACGTGGTTTTAAATAGTTGGATCAAGATATCAACTCTTAATAGATTCATTAGTAGACCTTCGATAGACGAGTGGAAGCCGGACTATTCATATGTCTTGGCTACTACCTACTCAGCGCTTCAGATGGTGTTGGTTTAGTCGATGCGGATGTCCTAATATTCTAATGGCGTCGTGAGGTAAATGATTTCCTAATCTGGCTCTCTATTGTATGTTTAGAGACGGCTAGATATCTAATGAAGTTAAACGGAGGTAAGATGGCGAAAAGGAGTCTTCCGCTATCGTGCAGCGCAGCTCAGTAATAACAGAAGCTCGGAGCACCTCGCCGAGAAGAGTTCGATAGAGTTTCTGAGGGCGGAATTTGTGAGAGGTTGAAATTATTTTGGGTCATCGCAATTTCTTGGGTAGTTTAGCTGTTCAACAAGGCCGGATTAAGTTTGATGGAGCGGTAACTAAGAGCGGTTATTGAGCGCTGTGACGCTGTCAGGCGTATGGGATACTCCGTACTTGTACCTACTACCTACGGTACTCGTAGAGCCCAAGCTCAAGCGTGCCTTGTACCTCAACCCCGCTTTCAGGGCTCCCGTCCCTAGCGAAATCCGGGACCATGCTGGTCTGGGCGATCGATGGGCACGAGTGTTGAGGTGAGGGGAGGATAGTGCGTCATGGTAATTCGCATCTCGACATCATGGAGAAGAATAGTTGATGGTGTTGACAACTTCATTCGACACACATTTCAGGGACCACTTTAGAGTACAAGTAAACAAGAGAAATGCACGGCAACGGGTCAGGAGGGAAAGAACGACCGGATGTCCATCGATCATCCTGCACCTTCCACACCCCCCTGTCCCCTTGCTGCTCCTTCCGCCAAATGTTGTTCTCGAAGGCAGCTTCACCTCAGATTCAGGCGTTCAGGCTGCTCCGATCTTGGTCGGCTCAAACTCTCCGCCCCACTTGCACATTCGACCTTACTCCTTTCGGCCTAATCGTGGATTTCGGTGAGCGAGTAGACGGAAACCGAGCTTGATGTTGAGGCGTGTTGAGCTTTAGTTGAGCTTCTTGGGCTATCCATTCCCATCCACCCATCCCCACGAATGAAGAACAAGAACGATATTGCACATATTACATCACCCCGAAGCCCGGTCATTCTCTTCGTTGTCCATTTCTTCTCTCCTCCCCCCCAATTCTCTGTTTTCATCCTCTCTGTAATACCCATCCCATCTCATCTCCAAGAAGTCGCCCTTGCCCTGACTTGATTGGCACTTCCCCAACTAGTCCCGCAAGGACAAACTTTTCTAGCCTCCCTTAATTCCAGAGTCTCTACTTTTTCAGCTGGCGAAGCATCAACACCTGCTCGTCTTTTACGAGCTTTGATACCCTCAAAATGGTTGCCGTCAATGGGAAGAGTGCATCGAATGGCACAGTCCCAGTCATGATCGCGCCATCATACGCAGAAAAGCACAAGCTGGCCGACCATTTTATTGGCGGAAACAAATTGGCAAATGCAGCCCCCAGTCCTGTAAAGGACTTTGTTGCAAATAACGATGGGCATACGGTCATTACCAATGTGAGTTGTCGATGCTAATCTTGGTGGATTACGGGAATACAGTCTGACAGCGAGGCAGGTTTTGATTGCCAACAATGGTATTGCCGCGGTCAAGGAGATCCGATCAGTGCGAAAATGGGCCTACGAGACCTTTGGAGACGAGCGAGCTATTCAGTTTACCGTCATGGCAACTCCGGAAGATTTGGCCGCAAACGCAGACTATATTCGAATGGCTGATCAATATGTCGAAGTACCCGGAGGAACAAACAACAACAACTACGCCAATGTGGAGCTCATTGTCGACGTTGCGGAGCGTATGAACGTCCACGCAGTATGGGCAGGATGGTGAGTAGTGGAGTTCTCACTCTCTGGAAAACAAAAACTTATTTTCTCTAGGGGCCATGCTTCAGAAAACCCAAAATTACCCGAGTCGTTAGCAGCCTCACCCAAAAAGATCGTCTTTATTGGCCCTCCTGGATCTGCCATGCGATCTCTGGGAGACAAGATTTCTTCGACGATTGTTGCACAACACGCTAAAGTCCCTTGCATACCTTGGTCTGGAACTGGTGTGGACGAGGTTCAAGTCAACGAGGACGGCATTGTCACTGTCGAAGACGAGGTTTATAAGAAGGGATGTGTTCAATCCTGGCAAGAAGGTCTTGAGAAGGCCCTGGCAATTGGCTTTCCTGTGATGATTAAAGCCTCAGAAGGAGGTGGTGGAAAGGGTATCCGAAAGGCAGATAGCGAAGAAGGCTTCGAGGCTCTTTATAAAGCTGCTGCAAGCGAAATTCCCGGATCTCCAATTTTCATCATGAAGCTTGCAGGCAATGCTAGACATTTGGAGGTTCAGTTGTTGGCTGATCAGTACGGAAATAACATCTCGCTTTTTGGCAGAGATTGTTCAGTTCAGCGAAGACATCAGAAGATTATTGAAGAAGCTCCGGTCACAATCGCGAAACAGCCAACTTTCCAGGCAATGGAAAAGGCAGCTGTTCGTCTGGGTCGTCTCGTAGGTTACGTTTCGGCGGGTACTGTCGAGTATCTATATTCCCATGCCGACGACAAGTTCTACTTTTTGGAACTCAACCCCAGATTGCAGGTCGAGCATCCAACGACCGAGATGGTCAGTGGTGTAAACTTGCCTGCAGCCCAACTTCAAGTTGCTATGGGTTTGCCACTCCAACGTATTCGCGACATCAGATTACTATACGGCGCAGATCCTTCGACTGCAACAGAAATCGACTTTGACTTTTCCAAGGAAAATAGTTCCCTTACTCAGCGCAGACCCACACCAAAGGGTCATACCACTGCCTGCCGTATTACATCGGAAGACCCAGGAGAAGGATTCAAGCCTTCAAACGGAAAGATGACGGAATTGAACTTCAGAAGTAGTTCTAATGTCTGGGGTTACTTTTCCGTGGGAACGGCTGGAGGTATCCACAGCTTTTCCGACAGTCAATTTGGTCACATTTTCGCTTATGGCGAGAACCGTGCAGCATCAAGAAAACACATGGTTGTTGCCCTGAAGGAATTGAGCATTCGTGGTGATTTCCGAACCACAGTAGAATATTTGATCAAGTTATTGGAGACTCCTGCGTTTGAGGACAATACGATCACTACAGGTTGGCTCGATGAGCTTATTTCCAAGAAGTTGACTGCCGAGCGACCTGATCCCATGTTGGCCGTCGTTTGTGGTGCTGTCACCAAAGCCCACATTGCCAGCGAGGCATGCATTTCTGATTACCGAACAAGCTTGGAGAAGGGTCAAGTTCCTGCCAAGGATATCCTTAAGACCGTGTTCCCAATCGACTTTATCTATGATGGTCATCGTTACAAGTTCACCGCTACGCGTTCAAGCCTGGATAGCTACCATCTGTTCATCAACGGCTCAAAATGCTCAGTTGGTGTTCGGGCTCTTAGCGATGGGGGATTACTAGTTCTGCTTAGCGGTCGAAGTCACAATGTCTATTGGAAGGAGGAGGTCGGTGCTACTCGCTTGAGTGTTGATAGCAAGACTTGTCTGTTGGAACAAGAGAACGATCCCACTCAACTAAGAACACCTTCACCAGGAAAGCTGGTCAAATTCACCGTCGACAATGGGGAGCATGTCAAGGCAGGTCAGCCATTTGCCGAGGTTGAAGTCATGAAGATGTATATGCCCCTCCTTGCACAAGAGGATGGTATCGTGCAGCTCATCAAACAGCCAGGAGCTACCCTTGAGGCCGGTGATATCCTAGGTATACTTTCTCTTGATGACCCATCCAGAGTCAAGCACGCACAGCCATTCTTGGGCCACCTTCCAGATCTTGGACCACCTCAAGTTGTTGGTACCAAACCTTCCCAAAGATTTCTGTTGCTTCATACCATTTTGAAGAACATTCTTGATGGTTTCGACAATCAAGTCATCATGACATCCACTCTGAAGGACTTGATCGACGTTCTTCGTGACCCTGAGCTTCCTTACAGCGAGTGGAACGCACAATTTTCTGCTCTCCACGCAAGAATGCCTCAACGTCTAGACGCAATCTTCACACAGATTGTTGAAAGAGCTCGAGCTCGAAAGGGCGAATTTCCAGCAAAGAATCTTCAAAAGGCACTTGCCAAGTTTATCGAAGAAAGTGTTTCTCCTGAGGATGTTGATCTGTTGAAGGCTGCTCTTGAACCTCTCATTGAAGTCATGGACCGATACGCTGAAGGAGCCAAAATTCATGAATTGTCTGTCTTTTCCGGTCTCCTGCAGCAATACGCAGCTGTCGAACGACTCTTTTCTGGTAGAACCTCTCGTGATGAGGAAGTCGTCCTGAAATTGAGAGATGAGAACAAAGAGGACATCACCAAGGTCATACAAACCGTACTTTCCCATAGCAGAATCGGTTCCAAGAACAATCTTATCTTGGCAATTCTTGAAGAGTACAGACCTAACAAGCCAAATGCTGGTAATGTCGCCAAGTACTTTCGCCCTGCACTCAAGAAACTCACCGAATTGGAGTCGAGACAAACAGCCAAGGTTTCTTTGAAAGCTCGCGAGGTCCTCATTCAGTGTGCTCTCCCCTCTCTGGAGGAGCGTGCTGCTCAGATGGAGCACATTCTACGCTCATCTGTTGTCGAATCAAGATATGGTGAGACCGGATGGGAACACCGTGAGCCAGACCTGGAGGTTCTCAAGGAGGTTGTAGACTCGAAGTACACTGTATTTGATGTACTTCCTATCTTCTTCGGCCACCAAGACCCGTGGGTCTCCCTCGCCGCTCTCGAGGTCTATATCAGAAGAGCCTATCGTGCGTATTCGTTGAAGCAGATCGAGTACCACAATGATTCTGCTGAGCCACCATTCATTGTCTCCTGGGACTTCGTTTTGCGCAAGGTTGGAGCTTCAGAGTTTGGCATGCCAATTCAATCATCTGCTCCATCCACACCAGCAACCCCATCATATGAAGGTTCCAATCCATTCAAGAGAATTAGCTCCATCAGTGATATGTCATACTTGGTCCAGAAGAGCGACCACGAGCCAACCAGAAAGGGTGTTATTGTTCCTGTGCAATACCTTGATGAGGCAGAGGAATACCTTGCTCGGGCACTGGACGTGTTCCCCCTCGCCGGAAGCAAAAAGAAGTCATCGAACGGCCTTATGCCAGAGTTGGGCGGCAAGCGAAAGCCTACTGCACCCAAGGTTGAAAGCATCGACGAGCTCACCGCCGTCTGCAACGTTGCGGTCCGCGATGCCGAAAGTCTTGACGATGCTGAGACCCTCGCAAGAATCAATTTGATCGTCAAGGATTACAAAGACGAACTTTTGGCACGCCGTATTCGACGATTGACTTTCATTTGTGGCCATAAGGATGGATCTTATCCAGGATACTTCACATTCCGTGGTCCCGAGTACGAGGAAGACCAGAGTATTCGTCACAGCGAGCCAGCCTTGGCTTTCCAGCTTGAGTTGGGAAGACTCTCACGATTCTCAATCAAACCAGTATTCACTGAGAACCGAAACATCCACATCTACGAAGCCATTGGAAAGGAAGTCGAAGGTGACAAGCGTTACTTTACTCGTGCTGTGGTTCGTCCAGGAAGACTTCGTGATGAGATTCCAACTGCCGAGTATCTCATTTCAGAGTCGGATCGACTCATGAATGATATCTTGGACGCTCTAGAGATTATCGGTAACAATAACTCCGATCTCAACCACATCTTCATCAATTTCTCACCGGTATTCCCTCTTCAACCACCAGAGGTTGAGAAGGCACTTGGCGGTTTCTTGGAACGATTTGGTCGCCGTCTCTGGCGCCTTCGCGTCACTGGTGCTGAAATCCGTATCATTTGCACAGATCCAGAAACTGGCATGCCATATCCTCTTCGTGTTGTCATTTCAAACACTTCCGGATATGTCATTCAAGTCGAGATGTACGCTGAGCGAAAGTCCGAAAAGGGTGGCGAGTGGGTTTTCCACAGCATTGGCGGCACAACTAAGATTGGAGCGATGCATTTGAGACCCGTCAGCACTCCATACCCAACCAAGGAGTGGTTGCAACCAAAGAGATACAAGGCACATCTCATGGGTACTCAATATGTCTACGATTTCCCAGAGCTCTTCAGACAAGCCATCCAAAACAGCTGGGTCAAGGCTGTGCGTAAGCATTCATCCCTGGCTGAAAAGCAACCACCTCAAGGCGAATGTATTGACTACAGCGAACTTGTTCTGGACGACCAGGACAATCTCGCCGAGGTTTTCCGCGAGCCAGGCACCAATACGCATGGTATGGTTGGTTGGATTGTGACTGCAAAAACACCAGAATATCCACGTGGCCGCAAGTTCATTATCATTGCCAACGATATTACATTCAAGATTGGAAGTTTCGGACCCAAAGAGGATCAATTCTTCTACAAGTGCACTGAGCTTGCCAGAAAATTGGGCATCCCACGAATCTATCTTTCTGCCAATTCCGGTGCTCGTATTGGTATGGCCGATGAACTCGTACCACACTTCAATGTCGCTTGGAATGACCCTGAGAAGCCTGAGTCTGGTTTCAAATACATCTACTTGAACGCCGATGCTAAGAAGCGTTTTGAGGATGGAAAGAGAAAGGATGTTATCACTGAAGAGATCACTGAGGATGGTGAGACCAGATACAAGATCACTACCATTGTTGGTGCAGAGGATGGACTTGGAGTTGAATGTCTGAAGGGATCTGGTCTCATTGCCGGTGCCACTAGCAGAGCCTACGAGGACATCTTTACTATCACCTTGGTAACATGTCGATCAGTTGGGATTGGTGCCTACTTGGTTCGTCTGGGCCAACGTGCTATCCAAATCGAGGGTCAACCAATTATCTTGACGGGTGCACCAGCCATCAACAAACTTCTTGGACGCGAAGTGTATACTTCCAATCTCCAACTTGGTGGTACACAGATCATGTACAAGAATGGTGTCTCCCACATGACCGCGAACGATGATTTCGAAGGTGTTTCTAAGATTGTCGAGTGGATGGCATTCGTCCCCGACAAGCGAAACAACCCACTTCCTATCGGACCAGCTGTTGATTCATGGGATCGAGACATTCTCTACACTCCACCACCTAAGGCGCCATATGATGTCAGATGGTTGATTGGAGGTAAGGAAGATGACGAGGGATTTATGCCAGGTCTCTTCGACAAGGACTCCTTCGTTGAAACCCTCGGTGGTTGGGCCAAGACAGTTGTTGTAGGTCGTGCTCGCCTCGGTGGCATCCCAATGGGTGTCATTGCTGTCGAAACTCGTTCAGTGGAGAATATCACCCCAGCTGATCCCGCAAACCCTGACTCCATTGAACAAGTCGCCAACGAGGCTGGTGGTGTTTGGTATCCAAACTCGGCTTTCAAGACCGCCCAAGCTATCAAGGACTTCAACAATGGTGAACAATTGCCATTGATGATTCTTGCGAATTGGAGAGGTTTCTCTGGTGGTCAGCGCGATATGTACAATGAGGTCCTCAAGTACGGATCTTACATTGTTGATGCTCTATCGAAATACGAGCAACCAGTCATAATCTACATTCCACCATTCGGTGAATTGCGTGGTGGTTCATGGGTAAGTTTTGTTCTTTTGCAAATTGGAGTTCAACCGCTAATTGTTGCAGGTTGTCGTTGACCCTACCATTAACCCAGAGTACATGGAAATGTACGCTGATGAGGATGCACGTGGTGGTGTCTTGGAGCCAGAGGGTATTGTCAACATCAAGTACAGACGAGACAAGCAACTGGATACCATGGCTCGTCTGGATCCTGAATACGCTGCTCTTCGAAAACAACTCGCCGACAAGTCATTGTCCCAAGATCAATTGAGCGAGGTCAAGGTCAAGGCCAACGCACGCGAGCAACTTCTTCTGCCTGTTTACCAGCAAATCTCCTTGCAGTTTGCCGACCTTCATGATCGTGCTGGACGAATGAAGGCAAAGAATGTTATTCGACAGCCAATTGTCTGGAGAGATGCACGTAGATTCTTCTACTGGCGTGTACGCCGTCGTGTGAATGAGGAGTATATCATGAAGCGCATGGCTTCTGCTTCTCCCAAGAACCCTCTTTCATCCAGAGCTCGTCATCGGGAGATCCTCGCCGCCTGGACAGGTATCCCCAACTTCGCAAACGACGATAGAGATGTTGCCATGTGGTATGAGGAGAACCGAAAGACTGTTCATGACAAGGTTGAAGTATTGAAGACGGAAGGTGTTGCTTTCGATGTTGCTAGCTTATTGAGAAGCAACAAGAAGGGTGGCTTGAAGGGAGTTCAACAGATGCTGAGCATGTTGCCAGCGACCGAGCGAGAGGAAGCTTTGAAATTTTTGTCACAAACTTAGAGGGAGAGGTGTGTTTTTCTATTCACGATTTACTTCTGGGGTTCGGGTGGGTCTGGAGGTGGTTGCGTAATGAACTGTATACCATGGGCGTGCAGTACCTTGTACAGTGGCATTGGCGTTTTTGACTCTTTTTCATGAAGAGGAATTGTACATGTTATTTATTAGCTAGCTTTGCTTTGCTTTTTCTAAGAAATTCAAGATTCAACAATTGATAAATGAAGTTCTTGTCTTGAAATACGAGTATGTGTTTACCGTGTCTTGTTATGTGAGACTCTTGATCTATAAAGCCTCTCCCGGTCTACATCGCTGCAACAAATGCCGAACCATCTCATTGATTGGTCTGAAATCATTGTCGGTCTTTTTCCTACATACAGTAAGGTGAGAAAACCTTACTGTAATCTTACCGAGATTTGGATTAGATGGTACTGTAATGGTAATGGCAATCTTTCTTCCTGCATCGGGAAGATTTTCCTGGGGGACTTGCGGGTGTTGGATGTTCGTCTCATGTTGGTGTGGTGTGTGTAGTACCTGGTTGGTGCAGATGATCTTGGTGGTACAGTATGTTGGGGTTTGGGGGGGAGCACCCCGGTTTATCTTTTTTGGGGGTTGATGGAGGTGTGTTCGTCAGAGTTGGGTTGGGCAGGGCAGGAAAGGGTTGGATGGATGAACGGATGAGGCGAGTTAAGTTGGGGTGTGATGATACGAATGGGTTTGGTTTTTGGACCTGGGGGGTTGTTGTGTGGTTTTACTGTTTTGAGGTGGAGGTTGCGGTGGGGTGGGATGGGATGGTTGGTGGAAACGAGAGAAGGCACGATTCGAGAGAGCCGATATAGCGTCTTAAATTCACTAAGATAGAGGTTGACCTTAGTTCGACTCAAGGTGATTCGAAATATGAGCCGAGTTCGAGTTTGAGTGTTTGTTAGTGCCCTTGGAGAGCTTGTGTTGGACTGGTCTACCATGAGCTACTCCGAGATCACGACGTGAGTAAGGTCAGGAAGAGATGACTATGACCTATAATTAGTCTAGAAAAATCATAAGCCCGTCTCGGGACCTCTATATCTTCCTCCCTCTCGCACACCCTTTCAACTTCGAAAAATCGTTGGGTAGGAATGAATCGCGGAGGGCGGAAATGTGACATTCAGGCTAATATGATATGCGTTGTAGTATATGTACCTACATCTATACATTTCATGAGATCATCTGGTTTCATAACTGTAATGTAGTTTTATTTCCCGTTCCGTCGTTCATTGTGTCGCAGATACGCTGCATCGTTGATCATCCGAAGATTTATTTTGGAGATCCAGCCTGGGTGTCACAATACAGTCGAGATCTCCAGAGATCCCGACCAGGTTCAGGAAGATTAAGGATGATCTACTTTAACACATCTGGGTAGGTTGATCAAAGTCTGGGGTAGACTCTGGTTTGGGAATGTGTAGTGAGATGTTGTTGAGGCTAATTAGATGGAGGTGTGGGTGCTGCATGTACAATTTTCCGAAATGATGTATTCTCTTCTCGCTTGTTTTGTGTCTTCTGTGAGCTCTTTTTTTTGGTTTTCTGATTTCTTGTATGCTTGAGGTTTGGATTTGAAGTCAGGTTGGGATTCGAGGTTCCATTCAAGTTGGAACAGATGTGAGGGTTCTCTCGGTTGAAGGTATTTTGCTTGCTTCGATGAAGCCCACACTCTTTTGAAAATTGTATTTTGTTATTGGAGGATTGATTCTTCTATACGTTCTCTTTGGTACTTGTAGAACCTATCTTTGTTCCAACGCTCATCAGTCTTTACTTCTGTTTGCTTCTTATACAGATTTTACCAAGCACTTTCTTAAATGTTTCTACCGGTTGGAAACCTCGAGACCTCGTTGGGTCGAGAAATAACTTCAGCTAGATCACTCAATATCTTAATCGAATGTCTGCCCCTGTAGGAGGCCAGCCAGGAAATGTTGGTGGTTCTTCCTCTTCGCGACCGCCAACATCATCACCATTTCCAACAACTACCCAGGATAGCTGTCGAACAATACCAAAGACCACAACAATAACAACTCCACGTACCACCTCGCTTACAACAACAACACATATCTCAACCGCAACCAGGCTTCCAGTCACAGCCGTAGGCAACCAACCCAACGCAGCCATCTCGAGCGCTCTACAAACCAATACCGCCCTCCTTGAAAATGGGATCGGAGTCTCAAAAGTACACCTCACAACCACCATCATCCTAGGCGCAACAACCATATTCCTCCTCCTATCCCTAATCATCTTGATCCTCATCCTCTATCTTAGACGTCGACGCCATATTAAAAAAGCCCACAAAGAAACGAAAACCGACACCGAATCCAAACTCTAAGGTCTGAACATCCCCTCTCCACCTCTCATCTCCCATCGTCCCAAACCACTCTACTTCCCCCCAGGAACCACACCACAAACTATGATGCAAGTCAACACGCCCGCACGATTCGCTCTTTCGTTTCCAGATCCGGTCGTGATGGGTAGGAGGGATGTACAGGGCTTTAAATCTCACCCTCCGACTCCGAGGAAACGATCACGTAGTAGAAGCAGGATTAGGAAACGAGCTAGTTCGGCTCCTGCGCATGCTTTTAGGGTTAGGGAAATGGAGAGGGAGAGGGAGAGACTGCCGAGGATTGAGGCGTTGAGGGGATTGGAGTCGGGCTTTGGGATGGGGATGGTGGGGGGTGGTCTTGATATGAGGGGGATATATCCTGGAGGTGATTTGGGGGGTGGAGTGGGTGCTTCTGAGAAGGGTATCGTGAATGAAAGAGAGAGGAATGAACGGGGCAGAGAAGAGAATAGAAGGAGGAGAATGGCCATGTATCAAGAGGCTTTACGACAAGAAGCGGAGGTACAACATGCACGCGAAGAGGAAAGGGGGACGTTAGCCATTATGAATCCCGATTTTTATCAGAGAAGGATTGGAGATATGGATCTGGAGGCGAGAGAGAGTCTGGATACGGTGGGGAGTGAGCTGGGTGGTCTTGGGGGCTGGAGAAACGAGTCGAGGTTGCAGGATGGGAGGGGGGTGGTTTTGAATAGTACGAGGGCGAGCTCGGGGATCTTTCCGGAGGGTGAGAGGGAGGTGTGGAGTGAGGGGAGTGAGGGGAGTGTGGTTGGGGAGGGGGGTGTGGTGGGAGAGG